ATTCAGCAGAAAGGGATATTGTTGACTGTTTTACACAATAGTATTGTTTGACTTGTTCCCTCAAGCTGGCATTGCTTTTGCACTTTGAAAGGAAAACCCAAATTTTAAAAAAATCCCCCCAACACACACTTTTTGAAGATAAAAGCCCTCAACCAGTGCTTTAAGTCTAAAAATCATTCTAACAAGCAGGATTCCTTTGACTCCTTCTAAAGGATCCCCTGCTTAGCTTGCTATAATAGTACATCTGGAGAAAAATGGGCGTGGGGGGCGGGGGGTGGGAAAGGAAGCGAAAACTCTCTGGCTGGGCTGCAGAAATCTTTCTGAAACTGACTAGCCTGCTGAGTGATAGCAGTGAGGCCATGGAAGCCCACGCTCTGGAATGGCCCATTGGACCTCTGTGTTCTCAGGAAGGAGAAAAGTAGAAAAAGGCAGCCTGATTGCCTCTTGGCTCTTAGCCAAAGTTGCTGCGCATGGTGGGAGTGGAATTTTTCCATGGCAGAGGAAGAGGAAAAATCAGATCACATTTCCCACTGCTAGGGCCTATTTATTCAGGATGATCTAGGGGCCCTTGCTGTTCATAACAGAAGTGTGTTTTACTGGGTGGTGCCTTAATTTTCACCATTAGAAATCTCTTTCTTTTCTTTTTTTTTGAGACAGAGTCCTCGCGTTGTTGCCCAGGCTGGAGTGCAATGGTGCAGTATCGGCTTACTGCAACCTTCGCCTCCCGGGTTCGAGCGATTCTCCTGTCTCAGCCTCTCAAGTATGTGGGACTACAGGCATGTGTCACCACACCCGGCTAATTTTTGTATTTTTAGTAGAGAGGGGATTTCACTATGTTGGCCAGGATGGTCTTGAACTCATGACCTCATGATCCGCCCTCCTCAGCCTCCCAAAGTGCTGGGATTACAGGCATGAGCCACCGCACCCAGCCTATTTATAAATTGTTTAAAGCCAGGGTCTGCTTCTTTCCTCCTTGTCCCAGGGCCTAGCTTAGTATATAGCACATAGGAAGCACTCAGTAAATGTTTTTTTGAAGGATGGAAGGAAATAAAGAAATAATCCAACACAACTGTGTTACGGAGGTATGTAGAATCCAGGAATAAGACAAGAGCAGACATAAAGGGGAAACAGTCCAGATGACATCTGACCCCTTCCAACCTTCAGCTTCGATGAGTTCCTGGGGCAGGAAAACTCGAAATGAATAATGAAGGTGGACGTTTATTGTGATCTCATCTCTCATTTATCTGACTTCCTCTCTTCTCTGGTCTGCAAAGAAAGATATATATTCGTACCCTAAATGTGAGATAAGCTGATGATTTTGCAGATGCCATCATTTAATTATTTGCCTATTAAAGCCCAGCAATGTGCAACCCATCCTTTTTGCCTCCTCTTTCTTATTTTCTAGCTTTTCATGAAGAAAAAAAATACAGCAACAAAAAACTTACTGGAGGAATATGTGGTTGTTTAATGTGGACTTCTCTTGTATCCTCTAACAATCAAGCCAACTGGTAATTCTTATTCTTTGCTGAATTACAAAGGATATATTATCCCTGCCCATTCTACTGCAGGAGAATAATGGTGTGTGGAAGGAAGAGAAAGGGACATTATAGAAAGGGACATTATTTTTCCAGGCCTCCTTCCCAAAAAAGAGGAAAAAGCTGTCGCCAAAGGCCTATGTGTTTTGCTAAGGCACTGAATCTTTCCCTCTGGTAAAATCTAAAATCCTCAGGTGAACCCAGAAGTTCTAGTTTTGGAAATCTCATCTACTAAACTAAAAGTATGAATAAATAACATAGATACATGAATATTTTATGCAATATTATTTCAAGCGGCAAAAGACAACATCAGAAACCACTTGAATATTTATTATAGAGGAATATAAAAATAAAATATGGGGGGACGGGCGCGGTGGCTCAAGCCTGTAATCCCAGCACTTTGGGAGGCCGAGACGGGCGGATCACGAGGTCAGGAGATCGAGACCATCCTGGCT